CAGTGCCAGGCAATCTAATATCCCCGACGCCTGCACTTTTCCAGGCGTTCGCATGGCCAGCCAAATCAAAAATCCGCTCAGCTGGTGAAAGCTAAGCGAATGGCGGTGTCAAATCAGGATGAGAGCAAAGAATTCTCTCGGGCGTCTCCACGGTCAGTACCACAGGAGCAGTCGTGATATAGAGAACTACTCAGCTGCTCTTTCATTTCTCTGTGATTGGATATATGACATTTTTGCGTGGATACAAGACCGATATTCATCGTGGGTTGCTGTATTCAATGTAAGATTCTGTATACTGGCGTTGATCCGATGCTGACAATGATAATGGTTATTGTAGTATGATCATCATCATTATCTTCATGACTAACAGCTGTTATTATCATTAAGGATAATATTAAAACTAATAATAAGGATAGTGAAGATAATAATATCAGTAAATATAGATAATGATACTAATCGCAATAACAATGATAAAAAACAATGACAACAACAAGAATAATGATAACAATGATAATGATAATTGTAAAAAACAATAAAGAATGATAATTATAATGATCATAAAAGTAACTATAATGATACGGCAATAAGGATTATAATGATGATAATAGAAATTATCACAATGATGATTTTAATTAAATAATAATAGCAACAACAATGGTAATGCGAATGATAATTAATAATAATAATGATAATAATAATGGAAGTGATAATAACACTAATAATAATGATAATGATAATAATGATACAATGATGACAATAGTAATAATAAATACAATACTAATGATGATAACGATGATAATAATAATAAAAGTTATGGTAATGAAAATACTACTAATAATAATGATGATGCCATCAATAATAATGATGATAATGATAACAATGACATTCATAATGATAACAAGAAGGATTATAATGATAATGATAATAATAGTAGTAACAATAATAATGACAACAATGACAATGCTAATAACACCAATAGCAATAATAATAATAATGATAACAGCAATAATAATAATGATAATAATGATAACATTGATAATAAAGATAATGATACTAATAGAAGTAGCAGTAGTAGTACTAATAGCTAATAGGGATAATGATAACAATAATGATAATGAAAATAGTAATGATGATGATATAGTATCCATAATTGTAGTAGTAGTAGTAGTAGTATTAGTAGTAATAGTAGTAGGCTAACATTTATAGTTGTAATAGTAGTAGTAATAAGAACAACAATGGTACTAATAATGATATAATAATAATGATAATGATAATAGCTATGATAATAACAATGATAACAATGATGAGGATAATGATAGCAATAATAATGATAATAATAATAATGATAATTATCTTTATTATGATGATGATGATGATCATCATCATAATAATAATGATAATAATAATAATACAAATGATGATGATAACAATGATAGTAATAATCATTATAATGATAACATAATGATGATTATAGTAATGATAATAATAACATCAGTAATGATCAGGATAATAATAATAATGATGACAATAGCAATAGTAATTATAATGATAGTAGTAATAGTGATGATAATAATAATGATAATAATAATGAAAACAATAACTGCAACAACAACAACAACAACAATAATAATAATAATAATAATAATAATAATAATAATAATAATAATAATACCAATACTACTACTACTGCTGTTACTACTCCTACTTCCACTACTACTACTACTACTACTACCACTACACCTGATAATGATAATGATAATGATAATAATATTGATAATAATAATAACAACAACAACAACAACAACAACAACAATAATAATAATAATAATAATAATAATAATAATAATAATAATAATGATAATAATAACAACAACAACAACAACAATAATGATAATAATGATAATAATAATAATGATAAGAATGATAATAATAATAATAATAATAATAATAATAATAATAATAATAGTAATAATGATAATAATGATAATGATAATAATAATAATGATAATAATAGCAACAAGAACAATGATAATAACAATGATAATAATAATAGTAATAATGATAATAATAATAATAATAATAATAATAATAATAATAATAATAATAATAATAATAATAATAATAATAATAATAATAATAATAACGATAATAATAGTTATAATAATGTTAATAATAATTATAATGATAAAGATGATAATGCTTCTGATGATTATAGCAATAATAACAATCATTACTACTATTTTCATTACCATTACCATCAAAACTCCCACTCCCAAAACTCAACGAGAAGGCTACGAGCCTAATTATATTGTTCTGTAGAGGACAACTATTTTTGCTGCGTACTAAACAGATGATATTGTTGTTGTTTTTTTCGAATCCGAGCCTGAGCTAATATGAAGTAAAAAATAAACTCTAAACCTGGTCTATTTCAACAATAGAAAAATACAACCATCAAAAATAATACATAACCACAAAATAATAACATTGTAAGTTCGTAGTACTGATGTAAACAAATAAATGAAACTTGACATGAAAAAGCCTTGCTGGAGTAGCAGGCTCGAGGTGATCTGCACAGGAAAAAGGTAGAGTTTTATCGTTAAGTGATATAAGTAGCTATCATATGAACATGTATGATGTTCTTATTATCGTTGTTGAATATATAGTATGATATAATAGTATTTTATAGGGTTTGTTCAAATGTTCTTTATTTTTGTGTTTTTGTCTCTGCCTTTTAGTCGGAAATTAACTCAACAACATAGATTAGGAATGGAAAGATATATATTTGATGTATGAGTAAAATAACTGAAATATGAAACCATAAAATGAGTAACAGCATAATAAGCAAGGGATTAATTATTATTCATTTTTACAGTGACAGTTGTGCTTTATATGATTTCTTAAGTGGCAGTATATACTCAATTTACTACTTCTTTAATTGGATTTGTATTGATGATTTTTTACAACAGATTTACTGATAATTCTCATTTATTGTATAATGCATTGTCGGGAAATATGGAGGCATGGTATAAGTCTTCGAGCTTTGGTATGCCAACTTTAGGTGTGTTTGATCCTTTAATAAACCAAATTCACAGCATAATGAAACAGAATAATCTCTTAGAATTCTGAAAAGTTTAATACTAAAGTTTCATTAGTTGAGGTTCTGTATTATTATGTTTAACTCATTGCCACAAGTAAAAATGTTTGGCAAGTGGACGTATGGATGGGCTTGTTGGCGCGCATCGGCAGTTTCCCCTGTTTGTGCCCGGCTCGATCGGTAGTTTGTGAGATTTTAAATTGCTATGATTTATAAAAATATTAAAATGTTGAAGGAATACCTTCATTGTAGGTGCTATTGCCTAAAATCTTTACCATACAAATGAAGCCACTACTATCGGAGAAAAACAAACTCTGTTTGACGAGCCAGTGGCGCGGGAATGGGATGCCACGATGCCACTTGTCTTTCGGTCCACAACAGCCATGGCATGTACGTACATGCCACCCGTCGGCTAGGGGTTAATAGTATGTCATGAACAGAATGTAAATGATGAACATTCTAAAGTTAGAGTTAAACTTTGATTTTGAACTTTTTTGTTATTTAATCCAAATAATCTGGATAATGTAACCATCATGTCATGAAAAAAATGGCTTAAGGGATGGGAGGCATGGACATGCTGTCATGGGAAAATTTGGCTGTGGGTTGGGGTGACGCAAATTTGCTGTCATGAGCATTTTGGCTGAAGGCCGGGGCATCAGCAATGATTCACCACAAGTGCACAAACCTCTTGGAAAATTATTATAATCATATGGCATTTAGTAGGGATTTTTGCACCATTTCCAGTGACAAATAGAATGTACTGGCCTTGACTGGGAGAGCACCATGCTCAGGATCCTATTCCTTGCCGCTGTGACTGGTGGTGCAGGTTGTATCACTGAAAATTGGAAATGAAGAAAAATTTAAAATATTAAGTAACAAATTGCAAAGGGAAGTCATAGAGTCTTTTCACCACACATGAGTGTTTGCATGTCTCCAGCCAACAAGCAGCACACCCATTAGATTGGCTGTTTAAGTAAGTCGAGCACCCATATTTTGGGCCATGTGATGGCAATGAAGCATCTGGATCTAACAGGTTAACAGATGAAGTTTGTATATCAATGCTGTTCTTTGTTATGTTTAGATACTTTTCCCTGCTTATGCATTGTGTGGTGTAGAAGCAAAATAAACAAACAGCTTGTCATAGCAAAGAATAGACAGTGTAACAAATGGAATTAAAATAATTCATTATTAACTGCAATTATGATAAAAGAAAGCCTTTACTGGATTTACATTTCATATAGGTGCAATGGTTATTCATTCCATTATTGGAGATATAAGATTTTATGAAAATCTACATTTATCTTTTTTCCCAAATATGTTACCAATAGAGGCCCAATATGCCATATTTGATGATTATTAATTTGTGTTGGTTTTCATATTCAGGGTCTGATATTTTTCCTTCATTAAGGTTCCAAGTCACATATGGAGATAATGTATAATGCATTGTGATTTAAATATCCTTTGAAAAATCCAAAGTTTCTTTGAATTGCTGCAGTTATATTTAATTGAAACTATATCATCCAGAACATTTGTTTTACATATCATTACAAAATATCATTCTGATATATTGATGAATTATAGATATTTATTATATTTGAAAATAAATTACTTTCAGAAACTTGTAGTCTGTAGTCTTATGGTGTAGAATTTTGTCATATTGATAGATATGCATTACATTTTGTTAATCTCTTTCAGGCAAAAATGACAGATGAAACAACATGTGGTTCCTGTTTTGCATGCCAGCGGATTCTAGGGGAAAGTCGCAGTGTGAAAGGAAGTGCTCGTCTCAAACACTCAAACAAATTGGTGAATGAAGCCATATCTGATATTGTGAATGAAAAAGTATCAGCTCCCAAATTGTGCTTTAGATGTTATAGATTAGTCTTAGGTATAGATTATCATCAAC